TTGTTGAATTCCAGTCAACAGCTCTCCCGAAAGATGGCATGTTTGCGAGTTTTTGGGAGACGTTTTCAACAAAGAACTTGGAGAATTGTGGAGGATTTGTCACACGCGCCGCCTCTAGGTCTCCATTAGTCCCATGATTAAAAAAAGCTTGTGAAGCCGTGAGTTGGTGGACTGGGTTTTCAGGGCGACTTAGAGTGGATTAGAGGTAGTGCTGGAATTAAGGATGCTCAAGTTAAAATCATATGTTTGGATTGAGTATGACGATGACGATGATGCAGTCGGCGGTCCGTTCTTTTCTCCTCGTTCGTTCCTATCTTCGGTGGGTTTCGTTGCGAGCTTCTTGAGCCTCCTTGTGAACATATTTAGAACACACCGAGGGAAAAAGTCAAGAGAGAGGCGAAAGAGTCACCAAGCGCTTCACATGAAGAAAGAATTTAAAATAGCTTCGAATGAAGTGAAAGTTTGACTCCCCGAGTCGAAAAAGGCTAAAAAGACAAAACTCCTTGACATTATACAGGGTGGCCAAAAAGTTCGTTGACTTCAGATTTTTACATTTTTTTGAAGCACAAATAAGTTTTGCAAAAACAAATTGAAAATACATGACAAACAACATCTTTAGACTTCTATATGTTATTTATCACTCAATGTAGCCCCCTTTAAATCGGACACAGGCAGTCAATCTCCCTGGGAATGCATCCACCGCATGGCGCAGCATATCCTGTGGGATCTTCTCCCATTCCTTCGTGAGGACACGCTTCAGAGATGCAACGTTGTCGTAGGACCTGCAGCACACCTTGGTCTCCAGAATGCCCCAGACGGCGTAGTCCAGAGGGTTGAGGTCTGGGGAGTATGACGGCCATTTGTCAGCAGTGATCAGGCCGGGAAATTGGTCGCGGCACCATTTCTGAACATGACGAGCTTTGTGGGACGGCACAGAATCTTGTTGAAAGATCCAGTCTCTGCCATGGAAGTGTCTCTCAGCCCAAGGCATTACGACGGCCTGGAGCAAGTCGCGCTTATAGACCTCAACATTGATTTTCACCCCCCGATCAATGAAAATCGATCGCGTTCGCCCATCGGCAGTGATCCCGGCCCAAACCATCAAACCAGCAGCCTTCTGCTTCCGAGTCACGATTCGATCACTTGGAGATAGAGTACATGGGTCAGTAGACCAATTCCGATCGTTTTGGCTATTTAAAGCATGCTCGATGGTGAACAACTTCTCATCAGAAAACAGTACAAGTCGGTGTTTGTTGCCTGCGAGTCGGCGTTTCAGATTTTTGCATCTGATATCCCTGTTCTTCTTGGGGGTTTCGTTGAGGAACTGCCCTTTCCTCCTCTTGTAAGGATGGGCATTGATATCATTTTTCAAGATGTTCATCGTCGAGGATCTGCTGATTCCGAGCTCAGCTGCTAATTTTCGCGTCGACCTTCGGGGATTGTGACGAATTCGACCACAAACTCTTTTGATGTTAGGGGGGTTACAGCAGTGCGTGGTCGACCAGATCTCGGTCTTTCATCTAGGTTCTGAGTCTCTTGAAACCACTAGACCGTTTTGGAGACCAACTGCTTTGACACTCTGGACAAGATAAGTGACCGAACAATGTCACGATTCCGATGACCGACCTGGTGGAGCTCAATTATGGCAGCTCTAATTGTTTTCATACTAAAATACAAATTTATATTATCACATCAGGACTTTTGGTGATAATTTGGTCTTCATAACACGTAAGCAGATACAAAAAAACTAGAAATAGTGGCAGTAACACTTTATTTGACTTCATCAGAGCGCGTCAAAAAAAGTCAACGAACTTTTTAACCACCCTGTACATACGACTTCCGATGCAAAACCGTGCCAATCGTACAAGAGATCAGAGGAAAATGCCTTTCCCCAGCACCTGATTGAATACCGCGTGCGAAAAGGACATTTGAAGAAAGAAGGCCGGGGAAAATGAGAAAAAATCTAAATATTACTAGGAAACTGTAGAAGCGAGACAAAGGTAGCGCCATCTCTTTGTAAGCCATGGAACTGTTCGGAAATTGTCTGACAGTACTTGTAACCTTAACCACGATCAAGGGCACGTCCTTATTCAAGTTCAGAACCAGAAAACACTGATTACTCACAATTATGCTGTTACAATAGAACAGGGTACTTATTTTAAAAAAAGTGTCTCACTTTAAAGCGATACAGTGCCTAAACTATATGGTGCAAGATAATGCCATCGCACAGGCAAGACTGGAAGATGGAGAATCAATTCCAGCACTTACAAAAGTCTTGCCAAAGGTGCTCTATCATTGCTCAATTTGCATTTTATTTTAAAATACCACAGGAAAAATCTAATAAAATATGCTACTGATACCTCTATACAGACCAATGTGCATCGTGAAGGTGGCAGGAGTGTAGCGAGGGCGGATACTGAAGCTTTCCTGCACGAACGGCATGCCTTCAATGCAAAATATGCTTTCGTGCCCCCCCCCCCCCTCTCCCCGTGGCAAAATTGGATAGGGGCTGAAATTTCTTTCCCCTTAGCCATTTGTCACACGTGTGCGGTGGCATCATCCTGCACCTTATACTTCAGGCGCTATAACGCTCTGAACCGGGATACTTTCCTTATATTCACCATGTATGCAGATAATCCACTTTAATATAGACTAGCAAAGATTCAATGCATATGCACGAACTAGTAGGAACTTTTCCTTCAGAGCTGCAAAGTTACAGGTGCCTTATGTATAAATCAAAGAAAATTCAGCGCACTCCCTGCATGCGATGCCAGGAAAAAATTAATGTATTTAGGCGGGAGCGTGTCAATCACCTGTCAAATTATTTCCAGCCTTGAACCTCTTGTTAAACTGTCTATGGAAAGGGCAACCGCAATAAAACTCCACTCGTGTCGTCACCTAAGGAGTTTCATGCATTCACTATCTGGTAAGTTCAAACGTTATTTCGCCATAGGAGTCCTTACTTAAGCAAACTTTAGGTTTACAAGACCCATTGATCTCTAAAACCCATTTTCCCCTGGCTTCAACCAGAAGGAAAGTATAAAAGAATCTTCTAATTCGAAATAGCCAACATGCGAGTTGTGGTCAACTGCGATATACAGGGTGTCTATAAAGTCCCGATCTATTTTCATAAAAATCCATGAATTTCCTTTATATTTCAAGTTTAATTATTGGAATGGATAAACTTAAATCACTTAAGCATTGTTTCATTAAGAATCACATGTCCACCACTCGGCATTGTTACCACCGATCGGTGGTAGCCCTGAACGTGTGCAACATTGCTGGTGGTATGGATTCAACTGCGACGTAAATTCGATTTCAAAGGTCAGGCAAGTTGCGAACGTTGGTTCTGTAAACCTACGACACGTTGATTCCCCACACACACAAAAAGCAAATGCTTCGCGGACCTCCTCGTACGTCTCTCTGCGCAGACGAAGGATGACGACTTCTGTCTTCTCTGACACTTTCAGCATGTTGTGTCATTCAGTTTTCAGTCCACTCTTCCACTATTGCAAAACTGCTCTGTCGAGTAAACCTGAAAATTAAAAAGAAATTCCTCGTTTTTCATCAAATTAGATCGGGACTTTATAGGCACCCTGTATTCCCATTTTTTTCACTCTAGCTCTCTTCTTAGAAATCTATCCTTTTCTTACTTACGAATGAACAATGAAAAATGAGCTGAAAATGAACAAATAACTCAATACTCGAATCTGGTAAAATTAAATTTCCGCAGTACGCTCCCTCTCCGCAACTACGATACCTACAACTGCTACATGCAGCTCATCCCGAGCTGGAGATATTTTCTAGGCTTTGAACCCATGTGCAATATGTCTGGAAGTTTACCAAGCCTTTCTAAATTTTCGGAGATGAGTGTGAGATCATTGTAATACACAAACTTGTTTTATAAATTAGTTTTTTTTTCAGTTGAGTCAGACAATTTTTCACTCGATTCGAAAACACTGAGTATGGGATGTTCATGCATGTGCGTCTGAGTCAATGGAAAATCGTCTGATTCGAACGAAAAACACAAGAAAATTGTTGAGCATGCAGTAGATAGAATTAGTGAATGCATTGGTCCAAATGATGGAAATCAGCTTCTAATGCTTGGACTGAAGCTCGGATGAGGGTGGGGATCCAGTGCCCTGTGTATCTTTAGCTTTCCTTTTTCACCGACCTTCGTAAGTCTAGCGTCTTCCCGGTCGGTTCCTCCGAGGAATCCAAGATGCATAAATGCTGTAATTCCATCCTGTCAGATGAGAGGCAGTCTGGAGATGGAAGTCCTGGGGAAGAGGAAAGCGTCCTCACTACCTGGAACATGAGGAACTCCACGTGAGTCCCACTCGGTCACCTCTCGGGATTCAGGTTTCCTCTTCTTTTTTAACTTACGAATGATGTTGACTCGAGGAAGGAAGGGATTGTCGTCTTGGTTGTCGTCATGGTTCAGTGCTCGTAGACCTGAGACCTCCTTCACGCAGAAAGCTAACAGTCCTTCGAGTCTTCATGTTGAAAAGAAAATATGTACGAAGCTGCTCGGACACAACGGTCCCACCGTAATTTGTCCTTGGGGTCTTTGTTTAATTATATATAAAAATATCTATGCCCCCTTGTCTAGTCCTGTCTGGATAGTGAGGCTTTCATTTTTCTCAGACCTTGTCAGTGTTCTTTGACGGGGGTTTTCATTCAGGTAAAATGCTCAAAGAAATAGTATTTATTCAACTGCTTTCGAAGTAGAAATGCAAACAAGGTATACGATGACGTTTTCTTGAGCATTGATGAAAAATATATAACTCCCTGAATTCCCATTTTAAGAAAGCTCACTCCTCCACTGGTTTTTCTTACAGGTAACTGAATCACGCTTGCAGACGCTCGGACCCAGATTCTAATGACGTTTATGTGTCAGGTGGATTATCTTTTGGTCCCTGGATGTTTCACAATGGATTGGAATAAAATCGATGTCGAGGAGCTTGGAATGTTACTTCTCGGAGTCCAGAAGTCGGGAATGGAGAGCAATAAAAAATTTATTTCCGTGTTCATCATACTCAACAAAGAAAAGCCATTCCGGAACTTGAAATGGATTACTAGTATTAATCAATCTACTTCGAATCAACATGGGAGAAAACATGCGGGGGCTGGAGAGATTGAGAAAAGTAGAATATCATTATATATGTATATCATATGATCATTATTATCAACTTTTCATCGCCGTGATGACGACAAGGAAGAGAAAAATTCTGGTCCACTGCAGCAAATCCTTAAAATGCAATCATCATCCTCACTGTTTCTCGACTCGCTCTAAAGTCATGATATGAATTAAGTCGTAGAATCAACTCTACAATAAAGGGAATCTCTATGTACAATATAGGTACAAAGGTTGTTTGATCCCTCTGACCGAATGCCAATCAGCATCTCTCATTTAATAATTTCCTATTATTGCATTTTCTTTTACTCTCTCGCATCCTTTGCCCCGCATTTCGCCTCGAAGACAGGAGAATCGAGGGCCGACCCTCTGGCGCAGGCAAACGCATGCACGCAGTCGCTGGATAAGTATCACAAGCACTCAAAAGCGGTTTTCGCTCGGCAACTGGAGACGAGTCAATGGTTAGAGAAGGGGACTCTGGGGATCGAAATGATATTGGAACCATGGCCCAGCTTAACGAACAAAATTCAAAATTCGAACTTGCTTGCAATCCCGAACTTTTGCATCATCAAACGTTTAACACACTTTCAAAGGTCCATTTGTGCCTCCTGAAAAGCGTTAAAACTACACTTGCCCTATTCACCTTTTTTTTGGCACTCTGTAGATCATGCTCAAGAGAAAAAAAAGCAGCATGTGGCCTTGGAGTTGGAAAGAGGTCCTCTGACACCCTCTGTCTAAGGCACTGGAATATTCCCTATAGTCCTCGAGTCTTTCTTCCCTACATTTGACACCGAATACCATTCACACATCTGCGAATGACACGTCGATGGGAAAGTTTGCAAGAGGAACCGAAATGCCCTTTTTGAGCAAACAAAGAACGAACTGGGCCGATGATTCGTGGAGCGGGGGGAAAACGATATTGTTATTTGTCTGCAGAAAAACTGTTATTGTCACGGAGCGCGATGGAGTTGTGCATAAGAATCTTATAAGAAACGAGGTGCTCATCAACAGTTCTGCAAATCTGGGAAGCTCGATAGTGACTCTTGGCGATCAGGAGCAAGGTTCCTTATTGTCGAAAAACGTCAAAGGATTTGCGGGATTTCGAAACTGAATTGTGTTTTCTGCTTCCATGTCTTCTGTCTGGCTGCTGATTTCGATCGAGATGTTCGCTGTTGCACTTGGTTTTCCCAAATTTGCAGAGGAAACTGGAAACGCGATCGGATGAGGGAAATAACAACGATGAGCGTGGGGAAACATCCACCTTCCCAGCCTCTTCGGAACGAAGGCGTCGAAAAAAGTTTGCTGTTTTCTTTCATTTAAGCCGGGAAAGATCCGCACCAACGTTTCCGATGGTCCCAAACGGGAGAAGAATATGGAAAAAGACGAGGAAAAGGCCATGGGCGTATGAACAACAACGCGAGGAAGAGGAGGAAGAGGATGATAGAAAAAGAAATCTTTTTCCTTCCAGCCCCTTCAAAATGGAGGACTCCTCCACTCGTAACTGAATCTGATTGGTCCCACATGCCACCGGAAAAGTCCATCAAATAGTACGCGATTTTTTTCGACTTCTGGAGTGTAAATCACAGATACATCCTCTCGCGACTCATCGATCATGCAGGAGGATATCAGAGAAGAATACAACAATGAAGGAAGGAACTAAGGCCATCGATGTGCTTTTCTTTCGTCTCTGGGTCCCCGCTTCATTGAAGAAGCAGTTCAGAAGCCAGCTGGTCGTCTGATTTCGGTCCCGATGCCCCGCCCGACCCGAGCCCGAGTCCGTTCGGATTCACCAGTCCCATGCTCATTCCCACGGCTGCAGGAAGAGATCGACGGTCAGCTTCGATTCGATCGTGGGGGGAAACGAAATCTCGGCATGCAATGGGCTCGGATGAGTCCACGAAACACGGCAGCACAACACCACAGATGACCCCTTGGAACTCCGGAAATTTACCATTCATATTCCCACACGTGTGAACTCTTCATTCGCGCAACTTAGTTTCTCTTTCCAGCATGCATGCGCTCTTCCGACAGTGGTTGATGGGAACCCGAATGGGAACCAGAGCGAAAACTCATTTGAAGTCGAACAGAAGTTTGTGGGTGTCTAATTTAGTGCGATCGTTCCGAAACAGATGGCAATGGGACATAGACATTGGGTGCCAGTGTTGGGAAGTACTTAAATATCGAAAGTGCTGAAAAACTACTCAAGCATATTTTTGGTACTTGAATACTTAGAGTTTAGTATTTTCGCTTGGGGTACTTAGTATTTGTGCTCGAGTGTTGTTAGTGGAGCACCCACGCGCCAAGTAAATGAATGTGGTGAACTCTGACGAAGTGTTTCTTTCACATGCAGATTTCCGTGCTGGGTGAATTAGAAAAAAGAGCAAACATTTCCTTGGCAAAGGTTCATGTTACTTACAGTTGGCAACATTGAAATGATCCTCGAAACGACAGAAAGCATGCGGCGTTCTTGGTCTTCCATTCACTTTTTCATTCAATTCTTCGGTTGGCGAAGGATGCAAGCTTTTGGTGACATCTTTAATATGCTTATCAAAAAGTGCTGAAGCAGACGAGTAGCAAATAGCACCTCAGCATGACTTATTCCTCGAACAAGAACATCGATTTTCCTCGGACATTCGTACACGGTTAAAACTTGAGTTGCTTACATCAACACTTTTTGCTACATGCAACATGCACATTGCAGACACAAACACACGATCATGCCCAGCGTGCAAAGAATCAAAGAATGTAGGTACATATGAGCGTTGCGTGACTTTTTTGTTCTCCAACAGGAGAGTTAAGCGGACCCATTAAAAGGCATCTCTGTAAAGAAAACGGGAAAAAACACACCATACAGTCGTATGTCACTCTAATATCAATCCACGAGTTTGTCCTTTTTCTCGTCCAACATAAGCCTACAGTGAATTCTGACGGGTGAGCATGGATAAGGCAAGTGTGAGACTACGGTGCGAATGACAGGAAGGTCGCAAGGTCCTTTTATGCCGACTAGATAGACATACGATATATTCTAGAGGTACGGACAAGCGCTCAAAACTCTCAATGTATGGCAATGATCCTCTACAGTACTTCTACCGGATTCTACTTACGGGGAGCTAATGGCAATCTACGCGAAGGAGAATCATCCACTGAGCTACAATTCCCCATCATTTTGGAAGGAGTGCACCGGGTCAATGAGATCGGCAACAATTTAATTTCTATTCATGAGTCTAATGAGGAAGTCGGGAGTGGAACGAGATGAGGACGGGAGAAAAGGAGGGAATGAGAGAAAGAGAAAGAGATCGAAAGCGTACCCATTTTTTGCGCCATGAGGGGTTCTTTCATGGGATGATTCTGTTTGGGTCCGCTCCCAGCACCCCGAGAGGATGCCGCCACCGGTGCCCTCACCTGCTCGATCTGCAGCACCCGCCGCCTTCGCCAGAAAGACACACGACGGGCGTGAGTCGGACCGCGAACCGACGCCCTCTGCGGGCGGCGCCGAAAACAGGACCTACCGTTTCTTCGGGAGCTTGGCTCGAGCCTGGGTGTGAGAGTAGTACATGGCGAAGTTGGAGACGATGACGGGGACGGGGAGGGCAATGGTGAGTACACCAGCCAAGGCACAGAGAGTGCCGACAAACATCCCGACGTACGTCTTCGGCACCATATCCCCATAGCCAACGGTTGTCATCGTCACCAACGCCCACCATAGCCCTTCGGGGATGCTGTTGAAGTCGTTTTGCGGATTCGCCTGTTGGGCGTAACGGGAATACACAAACTTATCAGTGAAATAATTATCAACAAAATGTATGATAGTAAATAGTGGGTTATTAATGCATACAATCGTATTGTGTGCAGCACAAATGTAACATTAAAGCTTTACATATCACAAGACGCATTCATATTTATGCTCATATAGCACCTTAATACGAATACTTTAATTATTTAAAATCAAATCTGATGGATGGTAGAGAGAGGGAGGAGAGTTCCTTAGGGTTTTTATCTCCGTTGTACAGACCACGAGGCCAGGTAAGGTCCGCCTTGGAATGCGGAGACACAGGAAGGAAAAAGACAAGGAAGGACACGAAGCGCGTGTCTCGAGTCGGAATCCTGACGGACGCTTCCGTGTCTAATCTCAATCAGCGAGGTGAGAGCGGTGAGAGCAGAAGCGGGGACGCCGAGCAGGGCAGAGTGTCATCGGGACCACCGGGGATGACATGATGACGGACTCACGCGAGTTTAAGGACGGGCCTGGACGATCTTTTTGCGTTGAATTTCTTGTGCCGCATTTCCATCCCGAGTCGGTTGATAAATATTAGGCTTAGAAACTTGAAAAAAAGTTCGTTCTCAGATACCTCACTGTCACGAACAGCTAAACAAGCTAGAGGAAAAGGATCATTATCGACACGTGTTTCGGTATACCTACGCATGAAGCCTCTGTTCTTCGCCACGGCCGCCATTCATCTTGCCGACAGTCATATTCGAGGTCGGATCGTCCTTGGGAAAACGAAAGTCTGAAGACGTTGCAGCAGAGGAACTCCAGGAGTATTCCGACTCGAAACACGAGAAAGGGACCCCGATTCCCCGTCCCTGCGGGACCTTCACCCAGCCGACGCCAACCGTCTCTGGCGCGGGAATGGAGGGGACCTGGAATGCCTACAGCCAGCATACTCCGGGGATTCTCCGCTGTGACGTCATCAGGGGCTTTCAACGGGGCAAATCTGACTCGGAGGACGGCGGCCTTAAAGGATGGACTCCATTGATTCCCCATCACGGCCGTGTTGACTTTAACAATTACGGTGCGAGCATGGGCCTTCTTCCACGCCATTAATTCCCACTCCAGTGAATAAAATGAGGAGGGTCTTTCCCCTTTCATTTGATCGCAACATCGCCCGTCTGGACGCCACAGATATGTCGAATGAATTCCCCAATCCTCACAAACTTGAAAAAAGTGCTGAAATTCGCACAGATTTCCGCAAGCAGACTGCCACCTACGAGGACATTTGACGGGTTCAATCCTCAGCTGCGATCAAGTCATTGCACGCTTCTATTAGAGAGGTGCTTCGAGTAAATAATTGAGACTTGATCGTGTTGAACCGGTCGCATTGGTATGCAAAGAGGCACGAATTAAAAGCTGAGCGGCTCGCATGTTAATTCCTCGCCGAATGCGATCTCCAATGAAACTCCAAGCCTTCTTAAGTTTCGCCTTTGTTTCAGAGCTGAGGCAGGAAAGAGATCGTGCCGTCTCGGAACACTTTTTTTCTACTCGTGAAACTGCCATCGACGATGACAGGTTATATCGGGCACATATTCCCTGGGGTGTAAATGTTCTCTGAATTTGAGATTTCAGGAAGTAAATGGCGAAAGGAGTTTGGTATTGCCCTCGTTTAGATTCATTTCGAACACATTTCTGTCGTTGAAGGATAATATACTGAAGCCATGGGAAACTTTATATTGGAATCGGGAATAGAGCCATTCAAACTTGATCGTGATGATTTGAAAATGCCCCGCAGTGCACCAAGTTTAAGTCGGGTTGGCACAATCGTTTAGCCCGCCCTGAAGGCCTGCATTTCGCAGCTCGGGAAAGGAATGGGGCGCATGAAAATCATCTGTGAGAAAGAGGAGAAACGTCACAGCGTGAAGGAAAGAAACGGCTCGATCGCGTCCGGAATCGCGAGCGTTCGCCGAAAATCGCGGGTGTTCGCCGCGACGTCCTGCTCCGCTCGGAGTTCCCCCCGCAGTGATGCCCCGTTCCGGTCGGAGTCCCCCTTTCGCTCGGATCGCTCTATCCTTCTCCAAGGGCAAAGAGGCTATACGACCTGGCAAAAATGAGTTATGTGAGGCATTCCCCAGAAGAGAGTCCTTAGAAAAGACTTATCTCTTCCATTTTCTCCTGACTTCATTCTGGAGCACGAATGGCAACAGGGGCTCGAACGGCAATAGGCATTATCTCCAGTCAAAGGGCTCAGATTATAAAAGGAACGAAAACAAACGACGGAAGGCAGAATTATTGGAGTGAACCTCAATTACGCCCCCTTTGCTTTGCAAGGCAGCCTTTCTCTGAGTGACTGAGCGAGCCGAGGCACGAAGTCTCTCTTCGAAATCCGGGTTTGGACGCGTGTCCCTCGTCCACACTTTCACACTTCTCGACCTCCTTAAAAGATGAATCGACCCCGAGGAACGCGTCCATCTCCAACTCCACCAAAAGTGTTTGAAGTCGCCCCACTCGGAACCTCTCGCGACGATGGGACCGAGGCGAGGAGGGTGGATGATCCGGCTCGAAGGTCACCGCTGCTCCCCCCAAACACGAACAGCGCGAGGTCCGCGCTTCAGTACAGTGGAAGACTTTCGGAAGGCAGGTCCTCTCACTCTCGTCGCTGCGGAGGATCGGTGCGCGGAGTACCGACTGATGGAATCAGAGAAATGCCCCTAATTCGTCATGTGCCCTGTATACGCTTCAGACGCGAAAGCGTTCTCCGATTGAGACAGGGCAGGGGAGGTGAGATTAATCGAAGGGCTCGAGACGAGCTAATTTTAAGTTGTACCTTCATCGACATTCAGTCATTAAAACCGACACCTATAATCTTTCGTATGCAATTAAAAAGTTTCCATCGGAGCAATTACGTCTAAGGAGGCCTCGACTCTCCATTTGGCAGTGCAGATCAATGAACATCTCAAACTTAAACTGGGATTCTTTCGGAAATAGAAGTCGATAGCCTTCTACGATCTTGCCCAGAGCCCTTTTTTAAAGCCCTTTTTTAATTATTAATCAGCGTCTTCCCGTGCTTTTTCAGGGATTGTTTTTTTTTTTTTGCACATCGGATAAGCATGGATTCTGATTCATCGTAATGGTATGCTGCCAATCAGGTGAATGAGTTTCTTGTAGTTGTCTTATTCATCAATCGTCGCCACCACCAAGCACGGTCTTCCAGTCTCCACTTGAATTGTCGCAGCCTGAACTGAGGATCTTTGCCAGATTTTTTTCTTTCTTTTTGTATGACATAAAGCAAGGACTCGTTCCTTCAAGATATTTATGAATGACGCGTCTGCGATCTTCCAGGAAATATTCCCCAAGGTAAAATGTCAGCATCAGCCTGAAGTGGCCGATGACGTCGATTTCTTCTTCTTGGCCTGCATCTCCTTCGGTCCAACAGCGGTACCCACAAGCCTCGCGCCGGTAACCAAGCCAAAAACGAAAGATACCTTCGGGACGAAGGAGCAACCCCCCAAATGAACTACTTTTGTAAGAATAGGTGTATCGACCACCTCCCAACCATCCACCCACCACCTCCCAACCATCCACCCACCACCCCCCACCAGCAACGTAGACGCAGAGACTCGCCTGGATCCTTTCTGCATAGTAGACGAGGGAGGCGAAGATCACGATACCGAGCACCAAGAAGAAAACGAGAAGAGTGAGTTCCTTCGCACTCGCACGAAACGTCTGCATGAGAATCTTGAGTCCCGAGCTGTGCCGCGTCAGCTTGAACAGCCTCATGATGCGGATGATGCTGAAGAACTCCAGGATGTCCGCGTTCTCCAGGTGGGAAGCGTACTTTTGCAGGACCAGGTCGATGTAGAAAGACAGAGTGGCGACGTAGTCGATGATGTTCACCGAGGACCTCACGAACTGCAACTTGGAGGGACTGGCCACGAACCGGACCAAGATCTCGAACGTGAACCAGGCATTGCACACGCACTCGATGTAGAAGAAGGCTTGATGGGCCTGCCAAATAAAATGAGCAAATTTTTCTCTCTCTCTCTCTCTCTCTCGTTGGACTCGAAAGTGTTCGATGAAGTGTACCTGTGTGGCGGTTTTGTCCAAAGTCCACGAGCTCACGTTGGCAGCTGTGGTGACTGTGAAATTTTTGATCACAGGGACTCGCATGTCCGGATGCGTTTTCAGGCAGAACGACAAAATGGAGACGCAGATGAAAAACACCGACACTATACCTATCACCTACAGGGGAAAATGATAAAGACACAAAGACATGTGATTGGCAGTAGAGAGGAGACCAACGGGGACCGACAATTAAGCACGCTGGAGACGGAAATTCTCTTCTTTCTTTAAAAGAAAAAGAAAGGGGGGGGGGAGGTAGCAGTTTCAATTTCCCTTTCAATTTTCCAATCAACACCACGACAGGAACAGATGGGATTTCCACAATA